CTTCCTTCCGAGGAGTGGCTGGTGGGTTTGAACCACCAGCCTTCTGGTTAGCAGTCAAGTGCCTTAGCCACTATGCTACCAAAGCTCCTAGCCACTGTCTAGAGAAAGTTAAAAAAAAAAAAAAAGATGAACAGGTGAGGGACAGCCTCTTCTGCCTCTGTCCTCTGTAATTTCCCGTATGTTTATTATCAGGGTTATTGAGGGGTGGGGGACTTATCTAGAAAAGGTGACTTTAGAGTCTATGCAATGGAAACATGCTCATAAAATATTCTCAAAATATCCTTAATGATTCTCTTCTCTTTTCCAAGAGACAAAACAAAAAGCCTTTAATTCTTTTCCACCCTCTCTTCATCCTTTATGATTTTATTAGAATCAGCAGCAGGTTGGCTGGCTGTCAAAAGTCTGCCTTAATAAAAATAGTCATAATCATTAAGACTGTCTTCTGCGCCAGACACTTCACAAGATCAGGATGTACCTCTGTCCACAACACTCAACAAGCAGATCACTCAGTCAAAACAACCACTTCAGCATTGGATCAGGCTGTCCAGTGGCTCAGTAAAAGATACATGGTGTGTACCACCACAGGTCTAATTAGAGGGATATGACATATCAGGTTACTGCCTGCCCCTCATCCCAGACACTGCTTTTGTCATTTATATAAACTTCCTCAGTTTTCTTGGGGCATTTTTCTGCTGCTCAAAAATCAGAAACCTGGTTCCTTCTTTTTTTGTCACTGTGAAAACCCTGAAATAGAGATGGATCAGTACCGTGGACAGCTCCAGACAGCTCTAATCTTGCCACTTGTTGCTGCAACTACATTTCCCAAAGCACTTGATCTCCCTTTGAATAGCCCAAAAGGACCTCTGGTGCTGTAGTGGTTAAAGCACTCACCTGCTAACCAAAAGGTCAGAGATTTGAACCGACCAGCTGGTCCGCAAGAGAAAGATGAGGCAGTCTGCTTCCATGAAGATTTATAGCCTTGCAAGCCTTATGGGGGAAGTTCTACTCTATCATAAAGGGTAGCCATGAGTCGGATTCAGCTAGATGGCAGTGAGTGGGTTTTGAATAGCCCAAGAATATCTGATTGCTTGCTCCTCTCATAGCATGTGGACTTAAAGAAGTCCCGAATCACTGAGAGATGCTGTGTCTTTTTCAGGCAGAGAAGTAAATCTTCTTCCCTCCAGCCAAACTTTGGGTTTGAAGTTAGGACCTTATCATTGGTAGATCTTGAGGCTCAGCAGAGAAAAACAGACTTTTGTATCCTCACTGATATAGACCAGCTGGGTGGATACTAGGTTAGGAGAGGAACAGAGACAGTGGCATCACTATGGAGGTGTGAGGGTGCAGACCATTAGGTGACATCAGAATGACTGTCAATAAAATTTTTGTGCAATGTTTCAGCAGGAATTTATTATTTTTTATAAAAATATTCCTCTAGTTACTTATAGAAAGCTCTGACTGCTAACCAGAAGGCTGTCAGTTCAAACCCACCAGCCACTCCTTGGAAGGAAGATGGGGCAATCTACTTCCGTAGTGATACTGCTTTGGAAACCCAAGGAGGGTCACTATGAGTCAGGTCCAACTCGACAGCACATAACAACAACAAATTTACTTATAACAACAAAAACATTTTTCATAAACCCAGCTTTATTGTTGTTGTTGTTGTTATGTGCCGTCGAGTCTGACCCAACTCATAGCAACCCCTCCTTGGGTTTCCAAGGTGTTATCACTATGGAACTAGATTGCCCCATCTTCCTTCCTAGGAGTGGCTGGTGGGTTTGAACCGCCAGCTTTCTGGTTAGCAGTCAAGTGCCTTAGGCACTACACCACCAAAGCTCCCAAACCGAGCTTAGTTATATCAATATACTTATAAGGCTCTATGCTAATTTATTTTTAAACCTTCTAATGAGCTTCAGTCCAAACCAAACCAAACCAAACCCACTGCCACTGAGTCAATTCTGACTCATCATGACCCTATGGGACAGAGCAGAACTGTCCCATGAATTTTCCAAGACTGTAAGTCGTTATAGAAGCAGACTGCCTCATCTTTCTTCCAGGGAGCTGTTGATGGGTTCAAACTGCAGGCTTTTGTTTTAGTAGCTGAATGCCTTAACCACTTATTACCCAATTGAATGATGCTGAAAATCACAACGTGGTTTCTTCTGTGTGCACTATGCACCATTATTTTTGTGCTGCCAGTGTTTTTATAGTCACTGCATAGTGCGGTGTAGTGGCTATGGCGTTTGACTGCTTACCAGAAGGCTGGCAGTTCAAACCCACCAGCCACTCCTCAAAAGGAAGATTGGGCAGTCTACTTTCGTAGAGATACTACCTCGGAAACCCAAGGAGGGTTCGCTATGAGTTGGATTTGACTCGACGGCAGTGAGTTTGTGATTTTGTCAAATTTTCTGTTTTTTTTTTTTTTTTTTTTAACAATATTGTGGTAAGTAGTATTTGTGAACCTATATCAATAACTTTTTTTGAGAAGGAATGAACAATTAAAGGAAGATAAGGAGAAAAATTTTAAAGGCTTCTGTTCAGTTACTTATAATGTTGCAACTAAAAATGTTGTAATTCAATGCAAAAAGAGTTTACAAAACAATTTTGTTGTTAATATTCACATAATTTATAAAGTATTATATTTAAGCATTTACAGCTATATTTATCACATATTGTTCTATGATTAAAAATGATAATAAACATTACTAAGTATTCTATATGGTCTGGTATGGAAGGAGGTCCATGGGGGTGATACCATGAGTTTTTGCACTGGGTGACACCGACCCAAGTGATGCCACTGGACAGGGAAGCCCAGGTTCTATAGTACAGACTCCAGCTTTCTCTTTATAGCAACTTCCTTCTCTGGGAATGGAAGTTTAAATGGTACTACAAACTAAGACAGCTAAATATATCCTTAATTAAGCCCTCACTGGTGGTGCAGTGGTTAAAGCAATCAGCTGCTAACCAAAACTTTGGCAGTTTGAACCCACCAACTGCTTCTCAGGAGAAAGATGAGACAGTCTGCTTCCATACAAATTTACAGCCTCAGAAACTCTATGGGGCAGTTCTACTCTGTTCTATAGTGTCACTATGAATTAGAATCAACTTGATGGCAGTGGGTTTGGTTATGCCACATATTTTTAATGTTTAGTTTAAAAATGTCCAAGCTATGTTATGATGCCTTTGCATGGGAATTTATGAGGATAAATGTATTTTGTTTAAGAATCTTCAACAAAATTGTGGGGATCGCTGAACAAATATCGTGTAAGTCAGATTACAGTTCACTTTCACTGACTCTACCTTCCATCTCTTTTTGTTCACCCAATACTTCTTTTATGAATTTTTTTATGTTTTAAGTTTTTTATTGAAATATAATTTTTTATAAAGAGAAACACACAAATCTTAAGTGTGTAGCTTGATTTTTACATGTGTACACACTCATGAAATATCCACCTAGTTGAAGGTTCAGAACATTTCCATCAGTGGTGTCACTAGCATTGGTGAGACCCAGTGCAGTAACTCATGGAGTCACACCTTTGTGTACAGCTGTCAGCTTCTCCTGGCCTTGCCATGGAGGTTCCCTGCAGCTCTTCCCCTATCCCATTGGCCAAAGTGGAGATCCTCCTCTTTACCCAATGCCAGGCACCCAGGCCCGCCCACCCATGCTCTGACTGGCAGATGCCACATTAGGGGTATGTGGGTGTGGATTGAGGGTGTGTGATGAGTTACTGAGCTGGGTGATACCAACTCTAGTGATGCCATTGGATTTAGTGGCCCTTCCTCACAAGCCCAACCACCACTGCTGCCGCCACCTGGACCCTGGGTCTTTTGGTTTCACTCCCTCTGACAGTGTAAAAGACTGCAGTCTATACCCCCTTCTGAAAAATGTTTTAACATGAACAAAAGTGAAGGTAATCGTATCATGAGCTTCCATATACCCAGCACCCAGCTTCAACAATTATCATGACTTGTCACAATGCTTTACCCTTTTATCTTTTTTTTCCTTAATTTGTTTTTGGTTTCTAGAGCACATAAAGTCAAACTCTAACCTTTATGTTATTTTATCCCAAGCATACTTAGTATGTTTCTCTTTTTAAAATGTTGTTGTTGTTGTTGTTATATGTCATCAAGTCGGACCCAACTCATAGCGACCCCTCCTTGGGTTTCTGAGGCAGTATCACTATGGAAGTAGATTGCCCATCTTCCTTCCAAGGAGTGGCTGGTGGGTTTGAACCACCAGCCTTCTGGTTAGCAGTCAAGTGCCTTAGGCACTATGCTACCAGAGCTCCCCTTTTTAAAATAGGCATGTTGATTTCTTCATATCATCCAAGTTCCAGTCCATATGCAAATTTCCTCCATAACATAAATAATGGACTTTTGCTTTTGTTTGAATCAGGATACCAGCAAAGTCTACAGCCTACATACACCTACATACACCAGACATGCACCTAAAAATTTATGTATAAGAGTTAGGTCATGGTCATGGTCATGGTACTCCATAGCAAAGATTTACTAAGCCATCTGTGTTCAAGGCCAAGTGATAATGAATAATACTGTGGACCTGGGACTTTTGGTGTTCTGATGATGGAGGTGAGACTTAAGTTGCTCAGAGACTAAGTGAGTGTTTAAGGCAGGAGAATAGTTTGGAGCCATAAGGAGGAGGGAAAAAGTGCCAAAAGGATGCTTAAATCCATCTGCCTGGGGTGAGAGATTTGCTTGAGGCACCTTCCATACTGAAGTAAAAGATAAGGTGATTGGAGTCAAGCTGAAGAATCCCCTAAATATCTAAACATGGAATTGACCCCTTTATCCCGTCAGACATGGAAAATCACGGGAATCACCAGCAGTCAATGCCGTAATGAAATCCGGAGCATCTGGCAGCCAGCCCCACTCTCCTCTAGTCTGCCATCTTTTGCCTGGAAGAATGGAGTCCCCACACTGGTCCAGAGCTCCTTAGTCTTTTTCCTAAAGTAAACCTTGGAACATTAGAGAATTATATTTTCTGGGCTGGAGGAGCCCTCAGAAAACATATAACCCAGTGCCCATATTTCATCAACAAGGAGACCAAGGCCCAGAGAAGAGAGAACTTGCCCAGGGTCACACAGCTGGTGGGGTGGGGTGGGCGGGAGAGTGAAAATCTGAAATGGGAGGAAGGAGCCTGTTCAGATCCTAGTCCCCACAATATCTTTTCTACAGGGCTATTTCCTGGCTGGCACCTGAGCTATGTAGACATAAAGGACAACTCCCGTGATGAGACCTTCCGCTTCAAATGTGACTGCTGGTTCTCCAAGAGTGAGGGGGACAGGCAGATAGTACGTGACTTTGCCTGTGCCAACAACGAGATCCGTGATGAGCTGGAGGAGACCAGTACGTGGGGGACTAACGGGGCCAGCCCAGCTTATGATGCCGTTACTGAATCTTCAGTTAAATGGGAATTGGCTGGGGGGTGGGGCTGGGGACACAGTGTTGGAATCATCTAAAGAGACTCTTAGAGCTGGAGAGGATTCAAATGCCCAAAGAAGGAACTATTATTGGGGAGGTTCATAAGTAAACACCCTAGATGTTGCTTGGTGAACCTGGAACTGCCAAGATGTTGATGCCAGCTCATGGCCCTGAATCACAGGGACTAATTAGGCAGAGGGAAAACCACTGGAGAGCAAGCTCACCTCAAGCTCACTGCTGGGCAGTTTGGTGTGAAGCCCTCTCTGGTTTATTTTTATGTCATGGAACTCCATCCAATCGATGCATGTGGCAACAGCTGCCCAATCAAGTCATCCTGGAAACAGAGTGTGCAGGGGAGCCAGCACCTCCATCACTCTCTCTTTGGTTTTTTCCCTCAGGGGATATTTGAAAGGAAAGAGTAATTGATCCCTAAGGTGGATAACCATAAAGGCCAGGGAGGTATTTTTCAGTACAGATGCCAGTGTACGGGTCTAACAGACTCAAAAAGGGCTTATCAAAGGTAGAGCCTAGGGTGAAGAAGGGATTTCCTAAACTTAGTTATTAAAGTAGCACTAGCTGGAGTAAGAGATAAACCCTCATATCTCAGTGGTATAACACAACTAAGTTTATTTCTTACTCACACAATCTGCAACCCAGTGTCCATGCTTGGTGGGAAGTCTTCCACACTGTGACTCAGGGGCTCAAGTTCCTTCTATCGTGTGTCTCTGCCATTTTCAATGTGTGGCTTCTGAGTTTCTTGCAGAAGGGAAAAGAGAGCAGCAAGAAGACACGTACTCCCTTCTTAACACATTAGCTCACATTCAATGGGGAGGACTAGCCATGTGACTCCAACTAGATGCAAAGACAACTGGGAATCCCTGGCTAGGCTGGTGCTTCCTGGCAACACTCTACACCATGGAAAGAAACCTTGGGTCTTGGGTGGAAAGCTACCCATCTCTTCCACACCATCTAAATGAGATGAAATCAGCTGCTTTGTGAAGTAGTGAGTGGTAATGTGCCTGGGAGCATTCAAATGACGGTTGAGTATCCATCTGTCAGGTTTACTGCCCTTGTTGAGAAGATAGATTTTCTGTAATTTTATGTGCTGAGGAGTCACTGGATTTCTAACTTTATTTTAGGTATTATGGGTGATACACAAAGGGAGTTCTGGTGGCATAGTGGATAAGGCTTTTGGCTGCTAATCAGAAGGTCAGCAGTTCAAACCCACCAGCTGCTCTGTGGAAGGAAGATGGGGCAATCTGCTTCCATAAAGATATATAGCCTCAGAAACCCAATGAGGGTCACTATGAATTGGTGGCAGTGATTTTTTTTTTCAAATGTGTGATGCACATTGCTTTCGACCTCTAGCTAATTTTATTGACCTTCAAACATGTACCAGTCTCCACATATGTATGTTCTCCGAGGCCAAAGGTAGTACTACTCTCATTGGTAGCCTTCTGCAGCTCTCTAAGCCCTGGAACTTAGTAGGTGTTCAATTAGTCGGTGCTCAGTAAATGGAAGAAGAAGCAGTCATTTTCTGAAAACCTTGCAATCTAGTTGGAGAGAGAAGCTTAAGCCCATAATACAGCAAGACAGCTTAAGCCCTTACGCAAGTAGCAGGATGAGCGATACAGAGGCTGCGGGCCATTGGCTTTCAGCGGAGGAGAGATTTGTGAGGCCTGGAACAGAATCACTGAATCTCCTTCACAGATTTCCTGCCAAACAGCTGCTAAGACCTGTGAGATTTGAGCTGGCAGGGAGCTTGCAGAGGGAGGCATCACTTGTGTTAGTTCCGGAAGGATGTGTTTGTACTGGAGATGAAAGGGCAGGACACAGAACCCAGGAGCCAGCCTGAATGAATCCATCTTTACCAGGAGAGTGTAGAGGGCAGAGTGGAGTCCACTGTGCTGCCCATAGGGAACAGACAGCCACACCTGTATCCTCAGATGGAGGCTCAACCTGGCAGAAGCTGTAGGTGCGGCCATGGATTCAGCTTGAGCCAAGCATCCCAATCCTCAGCTACCCTTTGACAAGTACTTACTCAGCACCTACTAAATGCCAGGCTCTATTCTGGAATTTGGACACACATCAGTAAAGGAGACCCCTGCCTTAGTAGCACCTAATTTCCAGTGTCTGAGACCCCAGGGGCATCTTTGGACACTCAGCTTGTGAGGACCCACCCCCTTCATAACTGAGCAGAGCTTTGTATGTGTGAAAACATTCCATACAAATGCTACCTCCCTTGACATTTCCTGGATTTAGTCTAACCATGCATTCATTCACTCAGCAAATACCTATTTTGTGCCTACTATGTGTGAGATGCACCTCTGGGCACTTGGGATATTATATCCACGAACAAAACAAAGACCCCTCCCTCCTGGAGCTTGTAGATTCCAAATGAGAGGGGGAGGTAGACCATGAACAATAAAATGACAAATAATATAGCATGCTGGAAGATGATGCGTACTAAGGACAGAAAATAATAGAGCAGGCGAAGGCAGGCCAGGAGTGCTACAGGGAGGCAGGCTGCAATTTTAATTAAGGTGTTCAGGGAAGATGTCCTTAAGAAGGTGACATCTGAGCAAAGAGTAGAAAGAGGTTGAGGTGAGTGAGGGGGTGAACCAAGCTCATGTGGGATGGGGAGGAAGAAGGAAGGAAGGAAAGCATTCTAGGCAGAGGGAACACCCTTTGTCGAGGTCCTAAGGCAAGAGCAGGCCTGCATGTTCCAGGAACATCAAAGAGGCAGAGCAGTTGAAGTGAGCAGGAGAAAAAGTACTAGAATGTGAGGATGGAGATGGGGATCCAGATTGTTCCTCTCACCTTATGGTACTTTGGCCCTCTGACTGTACTCTGTCCAATGGTATAGTCCGACTGTCTGGGGCTAGAGTCTGAGTTCTGTGTCACCTAGAGTCTAGCCTAGTTTTGGCACCCACTTAACCTGAGACATAGCTGAGAGAGCTGTGGGGAGGGAGGTTGCTGTGGCACCGAGTGTGTATAAGGGTGAGAACTGAGACAAGGTGGGGAGGGGGTTCCAAGCTGGAGGAGTTCAAGGCTTTCCTGGAGTCGTGGGCCTGGCTGGGCATTTCCCTTGCCCTATCTGTCACTGGGCTCTTGCCTCTCCTCCCTTCTCGTCTCAGTGGAAGACCCTGTTTTGCTTCCTAGGGCCTCATTTGTCTGTGAGAGCCAGGCTCCAGCATCTCCCAAATTCTCATGCCTGTCTCCTGCTTCCTGGAGTCAGGCAGTGGGCAGGTGGTTGGTTCTTCATCCCAGCGGCTCCCAGGGTTGCCCAGCAAAGAGGTTGCTACTATAAATAAAATGGGAACCATCACTCAATTAGCCCCAGACCTGGAGGCAGGTTCTATTTATAGTGCCTCGAGTGTGGTCACTTTAGTGTGGCCTTTTCCACCCCTAGGCTGTGGTCAGAGAGATGCTGGAAGGACCCAGAGCTCACACCCTGGTGTTGGGCAGCTACTTCCTCTCTGCTAATCCTCTCCCACCTCCTCCATTACAGCCTACGAGATTGTCATAGAAACGGGCAACGGAGGCGAAACCAGGGAGAATGTCTGGCTCATCTTGGAGGGCAGGAAGAACCGATCCAAAGAGTTTCTCATCGAAAATTCTTCCAGGCAGCGGGCCTTTAGGAAGTAGGAAGCGGGTGCCTACAGGGCAATAAGGGTGGGTGGGGTGGCTAAGAGAAGGGCCTGGGGAGCCTTCTTATTTTGTGGGTCTAATCAACAAGTGGTTATTGAGTACCTACTGTGTGGGGATCCTGTGCTAGCTCCTGAGGATGAAATAGGTGATTTATGAAAGGAGGCGAACTGTCAATGAGAGCCTGCCATGCGGCAGGAACAGCCCCCAGGAATTTCACACCCATCACAAGCACCATCCCATGCACAGATAGACAAGAACCTCACAGATTAGTTAGAAGTAAAATGTCCACCAATAAAATTGCAAAAGAATAATATAAGGCAGCACAGACTGACATTCTAGTTAGAAGGAGGGAGGAGAGAGCTGCTAAGATGCTTACAGGAAAATCAAAATTGGGTCTCAAGGGACCTCTCCTTGCCACTCTGTCACCTTGATATCCTCTAGAGAATCTCACCTTCACCTCCGGGCTGCTTCTGAACTGCTTACACACATATATTAATCTTTTCAAAGAAGCAGCTTCTAGTCTTGTTCATTCTTTCCATTGTTTTTCTGTTTTCTGCTTCATTTATTTCTGCTCGAATCTTTATTATTTCTTTTTTTTTCTGTTGACTATAGGCTTATTTTGCTGTTCTTTTTCTGATTGTTGGAGATGTTGGGTTAAGGTGTTGATTTTGGCTCTTTCTTCCTGTTTGCTGTGTGCATTTATTGCTATAAATTGCCCTCTGATTGCAGCTTTTGCTGTGTCCCAGAGATTTTGGTATGTTGTGTTTTCATTCTCATTTGATTCAAGGAATTTTTCAATTTCATTTCTTATGCTGTCAATTACCCAGTAGTTTTTAAGCAAGATATTATTCAGTTTCCATGTATTTACTTTTTTTCCCCCTTGATCTTCCTATTGTTGTGCCTAAGGTATACGACTGCTAACCAGAAGGTTGGTGGTTCAAACCCACCAGCCACTCTGCAGAAGCAAGACTGGGCAACCTACTTCTGTAAAGATTTACTGCCTCAGAAACCCAGTGGTCGCTATGAGTCAGAATCAAGTTGACAGCAGTAGGTTGTTTTTAGGAGCTCTGGTAGCATAGTGCCTAAGGCACTTGACTGCTAACCAGAAGGCTGGAGGTTCAAACCCACCAGCCATTCCTTGGAAGGAAGGTTGGGCAATCTACTTCCATAGTGATACTGCCTGGGAAACCCAAGGAGGGGTCGCTATGAGTCAGGTCTGACTCGACAGCACATAACAACAGCAACAATTTTGTAACGTGATCTGAGAAGATGCATTGCAGTATTTCAATGTTTTTAAATTTATTGAGGCTTACTTTGTGGCCTATCATATGGTCTGTCCTGAAGAATGTTCCATGTGTACTATAAAAGAAAGTATATTGTCCTGTTGTTGGGTGACTCAAAAACTCTCACTGCTGTTGAGTTGGATCTGACTCATAGCAACCCTCCTTGGGTTTCTGAGGCAGTATCACTATGGAAGTAGATTGCCCAGTCTTCCTTCTGAGGAGTGGCTGGTGGGTTTGAATCATCAGCCTTTTGGTTAGCAGTCAAATGCCTTAAGCCCTACACTACCAGAGCTCCTTTGTTGGGTGAAGTGCTCTGTATATGTCTATAAGGTCAAGTTGGTTGATTGTATTGTTTAGTTCTTCTGTGTCTTTGTTGAGTGTTTTCTAGCTCTATCCTTCATTGAAAGTGGTGTATTAAAATCTCCTGCTATTATTGTGGAGTTGTTCATTTCTCTTTTCAATTTTGATTCAACATTTTATTTTCATATTTTGGGGCTCTTTCCTTGGGTACATCCCACTATATCTTGTATTCAAATTCCCTTTAGATCAAGATAACATCTAAGCTCCTTAAAACAAAAACAAAAAGCCACTGTCATCAAGCCAGTTGTAACTCATGGCAACCCCACGTGTTGCAGAGTAGAACTCCTCTGTTGGGTTTTTTTGGCTACAGTCTTAATAGAAGCAGATCGCCAGAGCTTTCTTCTGTGGCACTGCTGCATGGGTTTGAACTGCCAACTTTTAAGTTAGTTGTTGTTGTTGTTAGGTGCTGTCAAGTTATCTCCAACTCATACTGACCCTATACACAGCACAATGAAATACTGCCCATGATCCTTGCTATACCTGAGCCCATCATTGCAACCACTGTGTCTATCCATCTCATTGAGGGCCTTTCCCCTTCTTTGTTGACCCTCCACTTTACCACACATGATATCCTTTTCCAGGGAGTGGTTCCTTCTGACAACATGACCAAAGTAGATGAGACGAAATCTGGCCATTCCCACTTCCAGGGAGCATTCTGGCTGCACTTTTTCCAGGATAGATTTGTTAGTTCTTTTAGCAGTCTGTGGTACTCTTAGCATTCTTCTCCAACACCACAACTCAAAAGCATGAACTCTTCTTCAGTCTTCTTTATGCATTGTCCAGCTCTCACATGCATAAGAGGCAATTGAAAATACCATGGCTTGGGTTAGGCGCATCTTAATCTTCAAGGAGATATCTTTGCTCTTCATCACTTGAAAGAGGTCTTTTGCAACAGATTTGCCTAATGCAATATGTCATCTGATGTCTTGACTGCTGCTTTCAATGGTGTTGATTGTAGAACCAAGTAATATGAAGTCATCGACAACTTAAATATTTTCTCCATTTATCGTGAAGTGTTTATTGGACCAGTTGTGAGGAATTTTTTTTTCTTTATGTTGAGGTGTAATACGTACTGCAGACTTCAGTCTTTAATCTTCATCAGTAAGTGCTTCAAGTCATCCTCACTTTCAGCAAGCAAAGTTGTGTCATCTGTGTATCACAGATTGTTAATGACTCTCCCTCCAATCTTGATGCCACATTCTTCTTCATATAATTCAGCTTCTTGGATTATTTGCTCAGCATACAAGTTGAATGAGTATGGTGGAAGGATACAACTTTGACGTACTCCCTTCTTCATTTTGAACCATGTGGTGTCCCCTTGTTCTGTTTGAATGACAGCCTCCTGATCTATGTACAGGTTTCTCATGAATGCATGATCAAGTGTTCTGGAATTCCTATTCTTCTCAATGTTATCCACATTTTGTTATGATTCATGCAATCAAATGCTTTTGTGTAGTCAATAAAACGTAAGTAAACATCTTTCTGATAGTCTTTGATTTTAGCTAAGATCCATCTGACATCAGCAATAATATCCTTCATTCCATGTCCTCTTTTGAATCCAGCTTGCATTTCTGGAAGCTCTTTGCCACTATACTGCTGCAATTCTTTTTGAATTATCTTCAGTAATATTTTACTTGCATGTGATATTAATGTTATTTTTTGATAATTTCCTCATTCTGTGGGATCACCTTTCTTTGGAATGGATACAAATATGGGTATCTTCTAGTCAGTTGGCCAGGTAGCTGTCTTCCAAATCTCTTGGCATAACTGAGTGAGTGCCACTAGTGTGGCATCTATTTGTTGAAACATCTCAATGGGTATTCCATCAATTCCTGGAGCCTTGTTCTTTGCCACTTCCTTTGGTGCAGCTTTGACTTCTTCCTTCGGTACCATTGATTCTTGATTATATGCCACCTCCTGAAATGGATGAACACCCACCAATTCTTTTTGGTACACTGACTCTGTGTATTCCTTCCATCTTCTTTTGATGTTTCCTGTGTCATTCAATATATTGCTCATAGAATCTTTCAATATTGCAACTTGAGGCTTAAATTTTTTCCTCCATTCTTTCAGCTTGAGAAATGCCAAGAGTGTTCTTCCCTTTTGGTTTTCTAACTCCAGGTCTTTGCACATTTCATTATAGTAGTTGGCTTTGTGTTCTTGCGCGCGCTTGGAAATCTTCTGTTAGCTCTTTTATCTTGTCATTTCTTTCATTTGCTTTAGCTACTCTTCACTCAAGGGCAAGTTTCAGAGTCTCTTCTGACATTCATTTGGTCTTTTCTTCCTTTCTTGTCTTTTTAATGACCTCTTGCTTTCTTCATAGTTGATGTTCTTGATGTCATCCCACAATTCCTCTGGTTCTCAGTCATTGGTGTTCAATGCATCAAATCTATTCTTTAAACGGTCTCTAAATTCAGGAGGCATATTATCAAGGTCATATTTTGGCTCTCGTGGACTTGTTTTATTTGTCTTCAACTTCAACTTAAATGTGCATATGAGCAGTTGATGGTCTGTTCCACAATCAGCTCCTGGCCTTGTTTTGGCCAAAAATACTGAATTTGCGCATCACCTCTTGCCACAGATGTAGTCAATCTGATTCCTGTGCATTCATGTGGTGGAGTCCAAGTGTATAGCCATCATTTATGTTGCTGAAAAAAGGTATTTGCAATGAATAAGTTGTTGCTCTTGCAAAATTCTGTCATGCAATCTCCAGTGTTATTTCTATCACCAGGGCCATATTTTCCAACTACCAGTAACTCTTCTTTGTTTCCAACTTTTGCATTCCAATCACCAGTGATGATCACCACATCTTGATTGCGTATTTGGTCAATTGCACACTGCAGACGTTAGTAGAAATCTTCAATTTCCTCATCTTTGGCTTTGGTGATTGGTGCATAGATTTGAATAATAGTAGTATTAACTGGTCTTCCTTGTAGACATATGGATATTATCCTATTATTGACAGCATCGTACTTCAAGATAGATCTTGAAACAATCTTTGTGATGATGAATGCCACATCATTCCTCTTCAATTTATCATTCCCAGCATAGTAGATCATTTGGTTGTCTGATTCAAAACGGCCAAAACCAAGTTAGTAGTGAGTGCAAACTGTGCCACCCAGAGACCTCTGAGCACCTTAGGAACTTAAGAACCACTGCAGACTTCCTGCACCCCACTTTCTTTTCCATGACCATTTCTCTCATCTGAACCCAAACTCCACCCAAGCCAGCCTCTGTCCTATGTCCTGTGCCTCCATACCCTCCATTACCATTTCTATGACTTTGCCAGGACAGGTGTCCACATCAGGAACTCTTCCCTTCCCCTCCTCCCTCTGCTTTCTGAATCCTGCCACTCTCCTCAGCTCCATGCTCAGAGTATAGGGACTCACCTTTCTCCCAATTCCATCCTGCTCAATGGAGTTAGCATACATTGGTGCTATAACCAAGAAGCTGGTAGGGCTTTTTAATTGCTGATATTATCTTGTTCCAAAATTAGATTGAACTCCTCAATGACTGACTTCAGGTCTTGCTTACCATTCTACCCATATTCCCAAGCCCAGGATCTGGAATGCAGTAGGCACTCAATAAATGCTTACAGGTTTCAGTAGGCATGGGCTCCTCATTGACCACATGTTGTTTTTTTCAGGGGGACCACAGACACATTTGAGTTTGATAGCGTCTACTTGGGTGACATTGCCTCCCTCTGTGTGGGCCACCTCGCCAGGGAGGACCGGTTCATCCCCAAGAGAGAGCTAGTCTGGCATGTCAAGACCATCACCATCACTGAGATGGAGTACAACAATGTGTACGTATTGTGTCACTACCCACCACCCACCACCTCCAGGAAATGCCACTTGTTCAGTGGGGGAAGAACTAAGGCTGGAACATGGGCAAGAATGGCAGAGTTTGGGAAACCTGTCTCCTTTGAGGCCAAGGTCACCCCATTAGGAGGCTGATGAGACAGGAGAGAAGGAGGAGGTGTACCGATTCTGGAGTTATCTGAGTGATAGGCCATCCCCAAGAGACAGGGGACTAGACCAGATGACCTTGGGTGCACCCAGCCTTTTTTAATGCAAAGATGCTTCTTTGGAAGATACTGAGAAAGCCAGATAGTGCCCGACCACTGAGACTTGCCCTTCCTTGCACTCCCATCACTCTATAATAACAAAGAAAATATGGTTTTCAAACCTGCTGCTTCCATGGTCATGGTATGGGCAGAGCAGAGACTAGAGACAAGCCAGGTTAATCCCAAGACCCACCTGCCTTCAAATTCCTCAGATAAGGAGCTTTGCAGTTCCCTATCAGGGGCCTTCTGGAGGATTAAGGGCCTTTGTTACCTGGGCAACATAGCCACAGCCATCAGTTTGTCTAATTAAGCCCACTTGGTAAGCACATTGAAAGCCAGAAAGAGCCCTGAGGCTCTGGAAGGCAGGAAAGACACCAAGAAGGGACCAGAGGAGAGGAGGAAAGGGGAGCCAAGGGGAGCCAAGGTCAGCCTTGCCTTTGAGGTGGGGACACCCAGGAGGGAGGGAGCACAGAGGCCACAGCACAGCTGGGCCACCTGCTCTTCTCTGTACCTGGGGCATCCACCCCAGGCCATGCCCACCGTGCCCCTCCGGGACTAGCAGAGCTCATATCAGCCCCTGGCACAGCATGCACCCTGGAGCCTTTCCCCTGAAAGGACACTGTGGGGCAGTGGAACCAGGCAAGATGGTCACCCAGAAGCAGCAGCAGAAGCTTTCTGCTGGGGGGGTCCCTTGGCTGTAATCTCCAACCCTTGGGAGCCCAGGCTTCCCCAGGGCATGTCTATCCATGTTCCACTGGTGATCAGCAGGATCCCAGAACCCAGCTCCCCCAGCCAGCTCCCCCTTGAGAGCTCTGAACCTCCTTCTTGGGCCGCAACATTTATTGGTTGCTCTTTAAGAGAAAAAACAGCCAAGGTACAATAAATCCTGCGGGAGGTGTTGGGCTTGGCTGCCTGGACCAATCGGGTGAGAACTTGAGAGCTGAGAGAGAGGCCAGAAGAGTTGCTGCTTTCCAGCAAGTCAGGGCCAGGTCAGTACTCCCTCCACCACCCAGCACTGCATCCCAACTACAGCACAGGGAGGGTTGCCCTGCTGATACTGCTCCTCTGCGAACCTCCACATAAATAACATTAAATTAACATCACATTAAATTTAAATTACTTGAAAGGTTACATGAAGTCTATGGGGCAGTGAGTTTAAGTCAATGGTGGTGGAACACTTGAAGAAGGAGGGTGTGAATGGTTCTTAACTTGAAGAAGGTGGTCAGTGTCACTGAGTTGTAAATGTAATAGCCTATGACTGTGAATATTTCACCAAAATGAAAAAAAGAGAGAGAAATTTTGCATACTCAAAAGAAGAGAAGGCAAGAGACTAGAGTGATGGAGCCATTAGGGGCTGGAAGAATAAGGCAGGAATTCTCCTCTAGAGCCTGGAGAGGGAGTGTAGCCCTGCCAACACCTCATTTCTGTCCAGTGAATTGATTTTGGATTTCTGGCCTTCAGAACTGTGAGAGAATAAAGTTCTGTTTTAAGCCATATATGTATGTGTGTGTGTGTGTGT